CAAGCTGACGTCGTCTCACTTCTCGCCATGATATTTCAAAACACTTCATGCGTGTACATAGGTACATACATACAGTGGCATACATACATCAGTACATAAGCAAGCTTGTTTGTATGTGTGTGTGTGTATGCAGATACACACATGCAGGCAGGCAGGCATCAACAGTAGTTGCGTTTCTGCGATCTGACTGCACCTATATTCTTCGCGGATGCATGCGAGGGGTGCCAGAATGTGTCCTTTCATGCGTGGTCGAGGTACAGGTGCGAGACCTGCGGTCTCGGTCGACTTTCGTCCTGCGCACGAACAAGTCGCAGCAACTTCCACCAGGCTGCGAAGTTGCCTCCGCCAGCGTGCGCCTCACCGCTGAGACCGAGACTTTGGCCGCTTTGGCCTTGTGCAGGTTGGTCGGATCTTCCCCGCATCAGCCTTCTGCCTCCAGAGCTCGCAGGCTCCCGCGGCTGCCGTGCTGGCAGTCTCTTTTGAATCTGGAGATCTCTTTGCCATGCAGGTGCCCCGAGTTCTGAGACAAAGAAAGCGCAGTAAAATAGGTCACGGAGCCAGTCTGGGGAGTGATCCCGGTTGTACAAAGTATACAGCATATTGCATCATGCCACGGGAGCCGGAAACCATGCAGTCTGGGGAGGGAATCTCGAAACACCAGCTTCGAAGTGGACGCGGCTCTCTTGGCAGACGCCATGCGGCAGCCCAGGCTCAGGCATACAGCTATGGGGGCCTTGGTCAAAGCTCACCATGCTCACAGCTCCTAGCTCGAACCAAAGCCCCCGAATGAAGCCGAGCCCGGTGCAGCCATGCGCCGCTTCAGATGGAAAAGATTGCACCTTCAGAGTCCGTTCCATTGTGGATTCCTAGGCTTGTGCTTACTTATTTCCAACTCATCCCTGCCGGCTCTTCCCTCTCCTTCCCTTTTCTCCATAGCCGAGGCCGGGGCACTCGCTGAGTTTGCGAAGCTCAACTTCAAGGCTTCGGGCTCTCGTGAGAGTTTGGGTCTCTTTATGGAGGGGTGCTCTTGGTGGTTACCTACTGTAACAGTTGGATTCAGGTGTTTCTGTCTTGTTGCACTGGGGCTTCTTGTAGGATTGTCTCCACGCGTTCAGGCATGAAGGCGTTCAGGCTCCAGAGCAAAACCCTAGCCGTTTTGACAGAAAGCACGGGCCTTGGCGGCCTAGTCTACTTTCGGGCGATCAGGATTTGAGCTACTCTGTAAGACTAATTAGAAGGAGCATGTCCGTTGTTGACTGGCTTGGTGGCTCGGAGCTCGCATTGTCTATGCCATTCCTTTGTGGATGTATCATGCAGCATGTCAAGGTTGACACGGACTGTCGGTAGAATCCCCAAGCCTCAAGCCACTGAGAGTGTTGCTCCCAGAAGGGTGCACGCCAGATTCAGAGCTGTACTTGGAGGATCATGGGTAGTTATAAGTGGGTTATAAGTAAGGTAACTATAATTATAACCCATATTAGGGGGCTTATAACCCTACTTATACTGTAACTACCCATGAACCTCCAAGTAGTGCCAGCAGATTGAGCTCCTTGCCGAGAAACGTTTTTGTGTTGGACAGTCGTGGAATGAGCTGTTGCTTTGCCTTACATAACTCTGCCAGTTCTGTGGTTGCAGTGGATTCTGTGAGTGTTTTCAGTTCATGCACTGAATGTGGCATCTTCAATCACTCCCGTCGCAAGCTGATGTTTGCTGCAAGCATCTGGGAAAGGCATGGTGTCTTGCTGCATCGTTACTAGCCAGGCCGACTTCGCGCAAGTCTTCGAGATCCTGACAGAGGCGCTGCAGTGTTCATGTGCTCTCGTCTGCTGCGATTAAGAGGTGCCGGTTTTTCTTTGTGTGATCTTGAACCTACAGCAAACGGAGAATTAAGGCTTGTTCAATTGTGAGGCATGGGGTCGGCTGCTAGATGATTTGCCTCTGCGATTGTGGGTGCCATGAGCTGCTCCTGCGGTCCATTGCCAGAGACTGAAACTATAGGGGCCTCAATAGTTACCAAGACTATTCTGTGGGGTCCTTACTATATAGTTATAGTAGAACATACCATGAAGTCGAAGTAGCCATAGTCGAGTCAGGTGGCCCCGCTTTAAGACACGGCTTGTCTAGTGCTGTCCATCACCTTGACTGTCTTCTCTTCTCTTATGGGGCTGATACTCTACATATTTGTATATATAATATAATGTTATACTATATATATATATATACATAGTAAAGAGCCTCTCAACCGATTGTGCGAGTTTGGCAGGAGAGCAACCTGACTCGTCATCTCTGTTGCTGAACGTTCAGGTTTTCCAGGAACCCGCGAGGATGAGGATATCTTGGACTGCCGGCGAGGCATCCGGGAACGAGGCAGGGCATCCCAGCAGCCATCCATTCAGGGGTCGTTTTGATTTTACTCCTTGTGTCTTCGTGGATTTGTGCAACCACCTCTGACACACGTGCGCTTTGAACGGCTGAGGAGGTCTGGTCCGAAGAGTGCGGAACGAGCATGGGTCTGTACTTGATAGGAAGGACGAGGCGGTTGGCGAGCATGATTCGATGCTTGTTTGTACAGCTAAATGTACAACTGAGCTCTCGTAGCTGGCACCAAGCCCTGTAGTGACGCGACTGTCCGAGCTGACAGGTTCTTAGGAGCATTGGGGTTGAATTGTGGCGATTCTGGCATATGATACGCAATTCGTGGCACAGGCAGGCCCAGAGTGTTTCAGCGGTTGGACGATCGGCACATATAGAGCGAATGAAACACCATGGCTTCCGGCAATCATGTCTTGAAAGCTCTGGTGAGGGCTCTCCCGACCCCGACCTCTACTTCGTCACTGCATCCGACAGACTCTTGACTCAGCCTGAGTTCAGGGCATCGCTCTTCTGGACTACCTGGAGACCGAGTTGACCTTCGCAGAATTTCAGCGGCTACTGCCGGAGCCCTGCGGGGCAACTGCTGGCCTTAGGAGTTTTGGGACATGGCCTGTTAAGCCTCGAAGCCTCATGTTGAAAGGAGAGGGAAAGAGCAGCAATTTCGCAGTGTTAGCCACACATAGCGCTCCACAAGAGCTCATTCAGTCGGTTCTGCACTGGGCAGATGTTGAGAAGCCCAATGACTCCCCAATGTTTTCGGGCCTTGAGGCTTCAGGTACAACAGTCCAGACCTGCCGACTTGTACTCTGAAGCAGGTCGAAACATCCCCCGTCCCGTACTTGGAGGATCATGGGACTTAGTAAGTAAGGTTATAAGTCCCCTAATTGGGGTTAGAAGTATAGTTACCCCAATTATAACCCTACGTACTAAGTACCATGATCCTCCAAGTAAGTGCCGTTATGAGCTCCAAGCTGCAGTCTCCAGAGTGAAGGTGACTGAAAGGGGCTAATGAGGCGCATGCAAGGGCGAGTAATTACCCTCGCATCACTGCACTTTGTTTGTAAAAGTGGCCTATAAACCACCACCACCACCACCACCACCACCCCCCCACCACCACCACCACCACCACCACCACCACCACCACCACCACCATCACTACGGCGATTCGGAACGACGCAAGCAGCGTGTCCAATTATCCTCGAGCTCAGGTTGCGGATGGCAAGGATACCTGCGGAAGGAGTGCGAAACTCGGGACAAGGGGTGGCGAGGTCATCTTGTGTCATCAAGCACTGCTTGTACTTCTGCGGGCTCTACTCCTATTCTACTCTACTCTACTGCTGCTGCTGCTGCTGCTGCTGCTGCTGCTGCTGCTGCTGCTGCTGCTGCTGCTGCTCCTGCTCCTGCTCCTGCTCCTGCTACCCTGCTACCCTGCTGCTGCTACCGATGCTGCTTCCGCTGACTTCTGCCGGTAGAAGGACCGAAACACATCGGGGCTTTTGAGGGCGCATGATGTAAAGAGGACTAGGATTGGGGGCTTGGTGCACGACTGAGGCGGCGAATGCATCCTCCCTTGATGCCCACACTCAGCTGGAGGCCTTCTTGGAAAAGGCGAGCCCAGCGGGGAATGGAAGGCAGAGTAGCTCGAGCTGGACAGTTCGAATACTAGCAACCCTGCAGATCATAGTAGCAACATTCAGATGAAGAAGCAGTATGAGAAGCCGCACAAATTACAATAGCGTGTCATGTGAACCTCAGTAGCAAAGCTAGTCATTATGCTGTCAAGACGACTGCAAGGACTGCGGGGGTGTTTGTGCAGAGCATTGCTGCTGTCATGTCCTGTTGCGACTTAGCGTAGGACTAGGATGGTGGCTACTTCCAAAGACGAGCCTCCGAACTTGGACTTGTACTGCACCTCCAGACGTCTTCCTGGTGCCAGGTTTTCCTGCCAGCTTCGGAAAACTGGTGCTCCGCTTCGGTTGAGCAACGACTTCGCCCAAAATTAACAGGTCTTCTTTTAATGCGGAGCGGCCGTGGTCGTAATCGTCCTCGTCGTGGTGGTTGAGGTGGTAGTGGTAGTGGTGGTCGCTTTGGCAGTGGTGTAGTAGTCACGGCCGCCGGAGTCGCGGCTCTAGATTTAAGCACGCAGCGTGCCATTCAACCTGGCACTCTCCTGCATTTGAGCTTTTTCGTTGTGGAAAGACTTGCAGTATGTGATGACGATGATGTTGAAGCAGGCAATGATCGTGCTGTTGTTGCCATTGTTGTTGTGGCTGCTGCGGTTGTTGCCGTTGTTGTTGTTGTTGTTGTTGTTGTTGTTGTTGTTGTTGTTGTAATTGCCAATGGATCAGCTCAAGAAGTGGTGCACGTGTAGACACGAGTTGTGCTCAAGCACACTTATCTACCGTAGGTCTATGTCCCTTGCGTATGCATGTACACACGTATGCGCACTCAGACAGATGCCTGCGCACATATATCTACTCGTATACATATATATATATATACACATACATATATATATATATATATATATATATACGTAATATACCTCAAACACAACCAACGCCCTCACAAAGACCAACTCCAAGATCGATCGGTATGAAGCTCCCAGGTACGCCACTAGGCCTGCGGTCGAGCCGGACCTGCCTTTGCCAAAGCCTGCCCCCAAAGCACCGGCGCCGCAACCGGAGCCTGTGGAGAGGCCTCGCCATGCACTGTTCGCAGCGCATGTTAACAGGGAGGCAGATGGGGACCCGTGGGCCTCGAAGGGTGGAGGGCAAGAGATCGAGCCCAGTTGCTCGAGAGATGATTTGCGATGGCGGTTAGATAGTCAGCCGGAACCTTGTCTGATCGGGTGGTTTGGGGTCTTTTGGGCAGGGAACCGGCTGACACAGCCGAAGATGCGCCGGAGGGAGAAGAAGGCGAGCACGAGGAGGACTGCCGGTTTTGAGAGATTGCCTACGGCGCTCGCATGCTGAAACAAGGTACCCCGATGTTAGTGAATTCTGCTACCAGCTACTACTGCTGCTTCCACTACTACTATTACTCTTACTAGTACTAGTACTAGTACTATTACTATTACTATTACTATTACTATTACTATTACTATTACTAAAACTATTACTATTACTATTACTATTATTATTACTATTACTATGACTATTACTATTGCT